TATTAATTTTGTGGGTGTTTCGTCAGTGATAACGTTTTTGGAAATAATTACGTTCAATCGCGCATAGAGTGCATTTCGATCGAGTGTCGCAAAACCAAAGGCTAAGCAGATCAAAGGATGATATAACCAAGAAGCCGTGCGAACTCAAAGTAAGAACAAGCAGACTGCCTTAAATGCGAGAAACCAGGAGTGACCAAGTCGCGATTGGTTTTAATTTCCTTCGATTGGTTGAGAGGATGGCGCAAGTTTTCTGGGCCAATCACAGAATGTAAAGCAAAAACAAAGCAATGCTGGATTACTTTTAATACTCAGCTGAAAATTGCCCTTATAAAGTGTGATTTCGGACTGATGTATTCCTTATTTTTCAGTGTTTGGGTGAGCAATAAGCGAGCAAAGCAGTTTACTCTGAATTCTTCCCCATGGTGAGTTATGACGCTTATTAACTAAACGTCCGGTCTCTTTCATGTTTGAAATGTGGAGTACGCTGCACATCATAGTTGGTGCATTGAACGCCAGACCGATAGGGCGAACTACTCTACTGTTACACAAACTCCCCACCCACGGGTGTTAATAAAGGAATATAGATGAGCACTTGCAAACTGTTTAGGAAACCCTGAAAAATAGCAAGGGCTGGGTGGAAGCGGGAGGGTGGGTATTTTATGTTACCCAAACATAGAAACTAGAATTAGCTTCTGTAGGTTTTTCCTATCAGTTATCTTGTTTTTAGACTCTATCTTTACAGGCAAATGTTTAATGCAACGTGATGCATGTTCTCAATCGCCGTTGGGTGGATAACATACTTTGAGTTTTTTTTACAATGAAAGAACACTTGGTTCCTTCAGCTTCTTCTGTTTGAAAACAATGAGGAAATAGTTGTCGTTTTGCTCATCTGGTTATCACGCTGACGCCAATATCTTACTCATCGCTAACACTGTTTTGTTACGTCAGGTATGCAGCTGCGTTTGCTCTTCGTCAGCGGATGCTGCACTTTGTACAGACATACGAGCACTATATGATGTTTGAGGTTCTGGAGCCCAGCTGGCATGTTATGGAGAAAAGTCTTAAAACGGTATGATACACAGGGAGAGCGCTCTTTAATGGATTAACAAGTTTACTAGCCATGAAAACGCTTTGGCTCAAGAGCAAGGGTTAGAAGTTTATTTGTGTTTGGGGAGGCCGTAAGTTTACGGTTTTTAGGCCACAGTAAATTTCGATCTACTCTTCAGTGCCAGTAGACTCGCATTCTTCCGTAATCAATGGGAACTCCATGTGAAATGCTGTAAAATTCTTAAGCGGGTTTCTTTTCTAACTTTTCTTTATCTTGCTGTGGATAAAAAAAACCATCTTCTCGAGTTTCACTTGGTTTTTCCTTGTTTACAAAGATATTCCTAAAGCGACGTCTGGTCAATTGAACTGTCCTCGAAAAAATTCGCCTCGGTAATTTGCCTACAGAAGACTGAATTTGTCCTCATTGTGAAATGGAATTGCAAAGTATCTCAGACTAGGAATGCCGTGATTGGTTTAGTTTTTATAGTGATAGCCTAGCTAGAACCTATGACCAAATAGTTATCAAACTCAGCAAAAATGAAATCGAAGTGCAAAATGTACAAGATGTTAATAGAATTCGCCTTCCTTTTTTTACTTACTGGGATAAGGCTAGCTAAGAATGCAGCGAGTTTTCATAGCTGGAAGTCAACTGCGGTTTGTTGTCTTTTTGTTTACACAGGTTACAAATATCGATGGTGTACTAGAAAAGCACAACGACTTTTTGGACCGCTGTTTGAAAGACTGTATGCTGACAAATATAGAGCTGCTGAAGGTGAGGGCAGCAACGTCATGCAAACGGTTTGATTTTAGAGGAAATAGTTGCGAGGGGATCCGAAGTAGCTTTCAAAAAACCCCGCCTAGACTAGTTTGAAAGGTCGCAGAGTCTCAACTGCACGATGCTAACCATGTAGTTTTTTTGGTAATGCGGATATAATATGATAAGTAACGTGGAAAGTGTTCAAAGTATGATCTGAAGAGGTTTGGAATGCATGTTTACCCACAGGTTACATTTACAAAGCTTTATCGTTCTGTGGCAGGTTGTTAGCAAGTTAATGCTGGTTTGTGTGACATTCACGAATTGTATGCAGGTGAGGTATTAATATGTTTTCTACACACACGACCCTCTTCTAAATTTTGGCGGTTTATGTGTTTGGCTTTTCGGTAGAGTGTGCAACGTTTTATTCAGATACGTCCGGCAATTCCTTCCAAAGCTTTAGAAAGGGTCAAATTAACAATTCCTTATATGTTCCATTGTAAGCGGTTCACCCAGAGCGCAAGCGTGGAATCACAGGAGACCGATGCTACAGGAGTGAGTCCAATGAGTAAGAAAGGTCCACCACCGGGAGAACAAGAGAAGCGTAAAACTACTGCAAAGGTACAGGAGTCATTTTTAATGGGTTTGCAGTGGATCAAGCACGTACTTTAGAATCAAATAACACGACTCAGATGGTGAAACCCTGTGCTTCCAGACTTCCTGGTTATCTAAATGGTTATTTTTTACGAACAATTTCAACGATAAACAAATTAAAGAATGTGAAAGCAAAGCCGAAACATGGTCGTGTTACCTATGACTTTCAAGTTCTCCGAACCTTTCAATCTCGTCGCCCTGAGGAGTGAAGTCTTTTCTTAAAATAGACTGACAAAATCAATCGAATTCATTGGGCCGGATAGTTTTCTTCGAGCGTTTGCCAGTCCCCTTCCCCTCCCCACCCACATTGTACTTCATCATGGACAATTGTTGGTTCTTGTTCCACGTAGGTTGTGTTTGATCATGTTGACCAAATGATCAGTGGCGAGGATTTTGAACGCACCATTCAGAACTTCGACAATAATTTTTCTCGTCATTTGATGGACTTGTTGGAGAAGCTTAGCCATTACTCTACAACAGACTGTGAACATCAAATGCTGAATATCATCGCCCGGCTGGATCACAATGGATATTACACGGCGCAATTAGAGAAATACGTTGCCCAAGGTAAACCCAGCTAGTCTGACCATTTTTTTTCTATTTAGAACCTCCGACTTTAATTTCGCTACGATACCATGTGTTTTGTTGAGACGGCCGAATAAAAAATAGCTGTTCCCAAGAGAAATAAATTGTTGGTTTAACTTTTCCTCCTGGTTTTTTTTTTTTTTTTTTTTTTTTTTTCATTTACTAGAATCCGGTGCCCTTAGTGGATCCTCGGAATCAAAGACTGCAATCAAGTCTTCCTCGTCATTACTCTCAGCCTCAGTTGATAATCTGGCGGATGTTCCCATCGTTCCAGCTCATTTACGTTCGGCAGTTTCTTTGGAACAGCTGCAAAACGGGCAGAGCTACTTAGCTAAGCCAACATCCTTACCTGACCTGTCGGACGGGAGAGCAAAGAAGAAATAGTAAACATTTCGTATGAAATGATCACTTAGAACAGTTTTCTTCATGTATTATGGGGGGGATGGGGGGAGGATAAATATCGCAATGTCCCGTGAGGACCATCAGTAGTAAGCGGTTATTAAATGTTCATTAGCAATGGAACGACGCAGTGGTAGCATTTAATTGAACCCTCAACGTCGCTAAGGGTGAAAGTGGTGATACAATCTCATGCAAAGCCTTTTGCCTTCTTTATCTTGGCAACGCATTCTGCATTAGAAAGAGGTTTCACGCTTTACTAGGAAAAGAAACTCAGGAATATTCAGTCCACCTTTCTAATCGATCTGTTTTTTCTAAGACATGATCAATTAAAAAACTTTTGAAAATTCAGTTTTTGTATTCGGTCTTGGATAAGGTATCCTTCAAAAGAAATGTCCGTGAGTCGAATAGAAAAGAAAATGTAGTATTTATTACCAGGAGAACATCGCTTTGTTACATCTTTGTATCATTCTAACCATGACATCATGTTACAGTATGAGGGACTATTTTCGTTAGTATTTTGTACATAGTTCTTGGATTGAAGTTATGTTAAGGGTCTACATTAAAATCTACTCTTTCAAAAAAATTGGTACTTGCCTGTGTGTAATCTCTCAAAGATGATGCTCTGCAGGGAAATGTATCTAATTTCAAAATTACTGCATGAGGAGCTATGTTAAGTAGCGTATACTTTCGATTTTTACTACTTGCAGTCAAGCCTCAGGGTTAAAACATGTTTAGCTTGTGTTTCATCTTAATTTGTGTATCTTTTTCGGTTCCTTAACTTTGTATTGGGTCGAAAAAATATCTTCGCTGAGAGCGACTGAGAGGGACTGTTTCTTATTACCTATTATGACAAAGAGGTCAAAATTACTAACTGCTGATTGGCCTAGACAGAGGGTGTTTTTCATTGACTTTGTTAATTGCCTCGACAAAGTGATTTAAGAGATAAACTTTGAAATTCAAACTCCGCCTGCATTATCCTTACAGTTCATGCTGCATTTAATCATTGTTGTATTCGGTTTTTACTTCAAGTGCGCTTTTAACACTTCCACCCTCTGCTTGGATATCTCCAGTTGGGAACTTAAATTTGCATTGCGTGAAAAATAATTAAGAATGCAGGGTATGAAGTGCGTATACAACTGAAAAATTGTGAGGGGTTATATGGTAGTTTTTAATACATTAATATTTAACATTTATATTTTAACAACTATTCACTGTTTTAGTGTATACTTGAGCAAATTGGCTACTATGAACAGTTTCTAAATCTGACATTTCGAGCGTTAGCCCTTTGCGTCTTATTTCGGACAGTCCATTCGTGTATCGGATGCATCTAGAGTTCTGAATAGTTTTCTATCTTTCGGAAAGAATTGTCCATTCTCTAATTGCCCTGTGATGGTTTCGTCCAATTATTTCGCCTGATTTCGAACGGTTCTCTCCAGTTTCTTCTGGTTTCCGTCATTTTCTTCTTTTCGAACACTTAGGTTTAATTTTCGTATGATTCATTACTTTAAGGTATTAATGTGATTACTGGCTACGTACTAGGTGGTTTTCAGTCAATAATTATTATTGATCGGCGGAAGCAATAACCTCGCCTTGAGGGTTTCTCGGTATCCTGTCGCTGCTATCTACCGAAACCGCAAAACCCTGGGAACGAGGAAGCTCAGAAAACTGTCCCACGATTCTTTGCAGAGAAGCTAAATGCAAGATGGCGAAGGCTAAGGAGGGAACCGCTTCCGGAGTTTCAGACCATTTGGCTGATTTTGTCGGTACTGAAATTAATTGCCCTGTTTGTTTGGAAGTATTTGACGATCCCAAGTGCCTTCCCAACTGTGCGCACAATGTCTGCGTTACATGCCTCGGAAACTTAGCCAGACGAACCCGCAGGAAGAGTACGGTGGAGTGTCCTGAATGTCGCACCAAGTCAACGGTTCCATTGTCTGGAGTTACCGGTTTCCCCACAAACCACTTGCTTAAACGGCTCGTAGAGAACTCCCCTGAACATAGGGGAAGGCGTGCATTTGACAAAGCTCTTGAATGTTACAGAGAACAAAGGGAAAAGATCAAGGAAGAGTTCCAAACTCTCACAACCTTTCGAAGGATTCTTTTTGAAGAGAGCAAGAAGGAAATGAAAGATCAAATAAAATTGGAAGCTAAACGTGTAAGGAAACTAATTGACAAAGAAGAGAGAAAGCTATTGTCTCAAGCAGACGAGATCTACAATGAAAAGTCTGACCAAAGTCAGTTTGGAAAGAAACTAGAAGAGGTCAGACAGCTCAATGCTAAAGTTTTAACCTCCCTGGAAGGTGCTGACAAAGTTAAAGAGGAACGCGACTGGAAGAAATTTCAGAAATCAAGAGAGATCTTTGAAAAACAGTTTCAAGATAGTCTTAAGACTTTGGAGGCCTCAATTGAAAACTTGAGCAGTATGCAGTGGACAGCTACTGCCAAATTTAATGCAGGAAAATTGGACAAATCTAGCAAAATCCTGGGGTTAATTTCTTGTGATCCATGTAAAAAAGCTGCTACCGGACCAGCAATTGCATTGGGTGATGATGAAGTCATTCGTGTTATTGACACAGACTTTGTTCCAACAGCATTATCTGTTTCTCCACATACAGGTGAGATTGCCGTTCTTGATGCAGAAAACAACTGTGTTCATATTTTCACTGCCACTGGAGATCACCAAAAGCAATTTGAGATCAAGTATGGTGATCTTAAGGAAATTACGTATTCCAAGAATGATGACATTGTGGTTCTGAACCAAGAGAAGAATCGCCTTTTACACTTTGACAAGGATGGTGCTTTCATACACAAGTTTGTCCAGTCTCCCAACAGATCAGTGAGGTTTCAGAAAGTAACAACAGGTGGGGATGGGTGTTATGTGCTTACAACCCTGACTGATGATGGACCTGGTGTTGTTGTGTATGATTCTGAAAGATGCCACAAGTTAGCATTCACATCAACTCACTTTCAAGGCAACACATTGGCTGCAGTGCATCTTAAAGATAAGTATTATGTCACTGACTGCAGCAGCACAATCAAGATCTTTGACAAGAAAGGTAAATTTCTTCAAGAAACAAAGAATCTCGGTGATAGTTCCAAAAGTCCCTCTAAGCTCTACTCAGTGGCTGTGGATGATGCACATGACTGCCTTGTCTGTGTTTCTAAGCAGAACAACCAGAACACAATCCTTGCTGTGAAAACTGATGGCAGTATTGTGTCCAAGACTCCTATAGGTGGTAGTCTCAATTCTATTGCAATGTCCAAAGGATTTGACAGTTTGGTGGCAACTTTTCATGAAAAAAAGTGCATTCAAATTTTACCCCACAAAGTTTGAGGAGTATTTTTTTCAAAACCTTTGAAATTCAAACTCTGCTCAACTCATCCTCACAGTTAATGCTGCCTTCCATCATTATTGTACTCCAGTGATCAGAAAAGCTGAAATTATGGATTTCTTGAACAACTCAGTTTTTACTTCAATTCTGCTTTACATTCCACTGCTGTAAATGGATCTGTAGATGGGAATTAAATATAAAGTAAATAAAGTGGGTATAAGACTGAAAACCTATCAAAGATGATATGTTTGGTGGTAAAATAACTACAGCAACTGTTTATCACCAGATTGCTTGACTTATTGGAATGGTTGTATAGAAGAGCTAATAGTGTTTTTTTTTAGTTAAACTAGATGTAAAGCAGAGAAAATTTTCTTTGTTTACAAGAAAATATCTCAGCATAATTCAACAACTAAACTCTCCTAATACCTGAAATTTCAGATTTACAAATTGGAAATAATATTAATCTAATTTCAATTTTGTTTAATTTATTTTCTGATAATAAAAAGTTTGAATTCCTGAGGGGGAAATCCACTAACATGGTACATAGAAGAGTGTTCTGTAAATCAAATTGTAAATGAAATTGTTCTAACCTCACATTATATAAATGCTGCCCTGTGGACAGGTAATGAGAATGAAGGAAATGGTCACTTACTTAAGATGCTCTTCATTTTCACTACTGTATGAAATGTAAAGAGAACATTTAAAAGAATAAGCTCACTGTTTGTAGGGCATAAAGGGTTTGTGCAAAAAACCAGAGGGGACTGGTAAAGTCTGTTGATTGTTAACAGATAAAAATAAGTGCAACATGGTATGAGATAGGGGATCAATTCCAATCATTTTGATTGTGGAACACATTTCTGTGGGATCCAAGAGCCCCAACTTAAGCTTATGCTGTATCAGCTACACTACAAAAATCTAGATTCTTATTTTTAAAAAAAAGCTTGAGTGATGTTCACTTATCTATAATCTGCACAGGAAAATGTTAAGTGGTGACATTGCCTCTCATGTTTACCAAACTCGTTTCTAGATACATGTTTGGGTTAATAATCACACAAATACTAGTGCAATTTGGTATAAGTTAAAATGAGTAAGTTTTTTAGGTTAGTAAAATTGCACAAGCCTCCTAACTATGGACAGAAACAGAAAAAGAGTGAAATTTTGACAGTGCCCTTTAATTTTAAATACAGGTAATTCAACTGATTCGTTGAAACATTAAAAGTTTGTCAAAATCAAACTTTAATAAGATTATCATTTAAAAGTTATTAATCAAACCAAGAATGTAATATTTTTTATTAGATAACTTCAATTTCATTTTCCAAGAAACCTTGGCCTTGTTTGATGACAGTGAATGAAAGGATCTATTTCAAAACAGTAAATGATTTAAACCGGCTAATTTCTAGAAATTTTCTTGTACAACTATTTTTACAAGAGACTATAGTTCAAATAAAGGTTCTCCATTATTCTGTCTTCATTTCTTTGTGTCCTCATTCCTTTTGCTTCACTTTTTCTTGCCTGACTGTCATTAAGGGAACACTTCTATAACGTGAACTCTTGAAAGGCCTCCCCCTTCCCTCAGAAGGCACATTTTTATTTGCTCCTAAAGATTAAGTACAACTTAACATGGTTTGATATTCGGGGTCCTGCGATTTTGATATTAAGTATCTCGTGTAGGCTGAGTTACTGGACCGGAAGCACGTGTGGTTATCACCGTTGTTTTTAAAATCTAAATGTGAATAAAGGCGTACTATGCTGGGCGTGGCTCCCTGAGGTCGATGTGCCTCAGTTCCTTTTATTTCCTTTTATTTCCCTTTTTTTGCGCTCTTCAGGCGAGTGGAGGGAAGCACGAGGCGAGTACGAGAAAGGCGGGAGGCGAGTGGAGGGAAGCACGAGGCGAGTACGAGAAAGGCGGGAGGGGCAAGACACACACAAGTGGATGTCTTTATTCGCGCTCCTCCCTTTGATCGTGTATCATCCCTCGCATTTTTTTCGCACTTGATTCGCACTTTCGTCTTATCGCGCAAAAAATGAAACCCTTTCCACGAGCTTAAGTGCTACAATGAATAGAATTTTCTCCTAATTAGTCTTGGACAAGGACCCTGAGAGAATAGATCTTTCGTAAAAACCTAACAAATTCCTTTAAGTTCACCCCCATCAGAAGAGAATTACGAATAATTCTTTAGACATCCACACAATTTCAAATTCACGAATAGTTTAAATCAGTTTCGTCCGACTGATCACACAGTTCTCACATAATACCATCTAAAATGAAATTAAGGTCCATTTTTTCCCCGTCCGGCATGCAAATTCGCTAGTCAGAATGCCTTTCATTCACTGTTAATTCTTAAATAGCTGAATTAGCGTGCAAACAAAACTCCGCGAAAAATCTGTGACGTAGGAGCTGATAATTGGCTGCAGCTACTAATCCATATTCATCAGCAGTTGTAGAATTTTCAGCAAACCATGCTGCCTGTCGAAGGACGAAGACGTGCTTCCGAAGTGCTAAAGATTAAGTTGCAACATCGAAGGAAGAAGGCAAGTGGCATGTAAGGACGAGCAAAGAAAATTCAGTCTTTGTTATTAAAGCAGCAGGTGAGCATTTCCTTACAAAAATATTGCCTTGAAACCTTTCAGAGAGCTAAACGAGTTGGTTGCTTGATGTAAGCGGTTCTGAAATCGACGTTCGACGGAATTAGGGTGTTGGCTTAGGGGCAAAGTAACACGTCTGGTTCTAGGATATTCTTACCGAAACGCTGTGATAAAAGACTTTTAGCTTGTAAAATCTATTGGGGACTTCATTTTGTTTTAATGCAGCCACGTGGAGGTGTGATGACTCTTCTGCTCAGTAGTATTTGCTTCATTGCAAATAAAAATTCGAAAAGTCACGCAATGAAATTATACATAAATTGAAGTTTGTATAAGATTGTTCGACTTTGTAGAAATTAAACATTCCCTGATCACATTCATAATCTCTTCTTTCTGGAGGAACAGTGTCAAATGGATGGATGAAGAAAGATTCTGGTCAAGAGGAGAAAATCAGTGGAATCACTTCAGTTTTATTGGATACAACAAAGATAAGAACTTTGAAAGTTTTGAGTTATAGAAGCAAAAAAATGTGGCTTTTTATGTCTCATTATTGTGCGAGGTCTTCATTTTATTCATCAAATGTCATGGAATGGATAAAACTGGTTACCTGGTAAGTGAATAAATTTAATTAGCCGCCATTTTTTAAATAGTTTGTTGTGGTACGGATTGTTTTGCGGACTTTGAGCGATCGTTTGATTGATTTGAACAGCTCGTTATGATTTGGTGCAATTTACTTTGGACAATATCGTTACATCGAATTAACCAAAGGTATAATTTGAATTCTATGTCAATCGAACCAGAGAAATTTGGAACTAAAATTGCTAATTTGCAAGTACTGATCGCTCAGTGTTGATTAACAGTCAGCTGGTATAGCAGCTATATATTCGTTGATGTTGCACAAAGGTGATATTTGATGAGGTGGCACTTCGATAAAAGATCTTGGTCGAAGACCAAGTGAAATTCAGAATTTGAATTTTTTGATGAGGTAATAAATCTTACCTGATAAATTACATCGACTTACAAACCACTCTACAGGCTGCTATGCTGCTTTTTATCAAGTTTATATTGCACAAAATATCTTGAATGACTGAATTTGAAAAGCCAGTTTAAAAAACCAGGACAAGATCCCTCACAAAGGCGATGACAAAAACTTCTAACCAACGGAGCCATTAACAGACCAAACAGAACAAATTAAACTGATGTTAGAAATGACGTTTGAAATTTTGGCAAGGCCAGTAAATTTCTCTAGAAAAACATGCGAATCAGAAATGCAAATTAAACAAAAGTAATTCGGTTGATATTTTACCAAATCAAATCAGTTATTTTTGTTTTGTTGTGGAATACTTTCGCATATTTCTCATTAGAACAGGGGAATTTAAGGAATTCTGAACGTACCGTATACTGCCGCTTTTAGGCCAATCTACCTGGAAACAACAAAATACAGGCTCCTCGGGATGTACCCCCCCCCCCCCCCCCCCCCCAGATAGCTACTATGCCCTACTTCTAACAAAGAAAGCATGAACAGTTTATAATCTCTTGTTCTTATCAAAGATGAACTTCATAGAAAAATCTGAATTAACTTCCGTTTTGTTAAGTTCCATTTTTTTTTTCTGTTCAAAATGTAACGAAATAAATTTGATTTACTATGACGTTTTCGGACTGAATTGAAAAAATGTAAATGCAGACCTATTTTGATCATCACTTCTATAGCTTATTTCGAAGTGCCTTTTTCGATTTTGGTTAAAAGCTCCCCACGACTTATAAGCGGCAGTTTACGGTATTTCCTTATTACAGAATTGAATTCGTATAGAAAGTTCGTTGATTTTTCGTAAACTTTCGAAGCGAACCAAAAGAGTAGTTGAAAGAAAATGGATTTACATTGAGTAAAGATTTACATTGAGTAAAGCACTGTCTTTTTGCTGAGTTAAATTCATCAATACGGACTTCTTAGATAATCGAAAAAACTTTAAATTAGGTTGCACTCCATAAAGTAATCACTTGCTGCTCTTTGGACCAGGCATTTGGTTTTAAAATATATCTTATAGATAAATTATTTACTAGTTATTTCAAGTGGAAGTAAGATCTTTTGTACAGCCACTCGGTGTAACACAGGAATACAGAAAAAAAATGATTGAAAAAAATTCAAGTTTTAATATCAAATTGAGTATACTATTGCAATAAAACAGAGATTGAACGCTTCTAACGACTACATGTTTTAGAACAATTCGCGGCAGGAATTTATCGTAAATAACTTGAAAATCTATTAGCCCCTGACTTAGTGGCTAAAATAAAATGGTCTGTTCCAACAAATGGGACTAGTTATTTCTCCAATTGGTTCTTGAAGTTAGTTCTGTCAAGAACAGTGGAGCCTAATTGTGAAATGTCTGAGCCCTTTCGTGGCTAAAAGGAGCTCGCTCCAACAGTTGATCAAATTTTGTCATACAGCTTCGCAAATTTAATCCAGAAGCGTTATTCTGAAATGTCTCGAGTCAAATTTATTTAAGTTTGTTCCAACAATTGATAAACTTTTATTTCTCAAAAAGCTTCTCGAAGTTAGTTTAATCAAGAAACCTAGAGTCTTATGTCTTGGATATGCGGCTATCATCAAAGTCATCACTGATTCAGTCAAAAGTAGGAAATTTAGCAGCTTCTTTAGCCTGATCCCTGTGTTACATTCGAAAACTGGCGGCCTGAAAGGTCTTTTACTCAATGAAAATATCATGGCAAGCTCCTGGTTTCAAAAAAGGGATAGATCAGATTTAAAATCAAGAAATTCATCAAACTTTTGGAGATAAATTGAATGTTTCTGATGAGACTCTCTAAAGCTTGCCGCGATGTTCTTTCGTTAAGAACTTCCACGCGTCATCTCGTGCAAAGAATTGAAGTAAAAAAATAGGTTTAGAGAAAGACAATCAGAATCAATTTTGTAAAAAAAACGCAGCTTTTCAGGTTGTTTGAATTTTTTATAGTGAAAGAGAAATTGGCATTTACAATTTAATTTTTTTGCACGAGATGCTGTTCAATAATCTTTTTGGCGGGAATTTTGAAGGAAGCCTTGTTAAAAATTTTGGCAAAAAAGTTGTCAGGGGAAACTCTGTGCAAACTGGTCCAAATTTTCCCGCCAAAAGTCTTTTTGATT